GTCCCCGTCTGTTCCCTTAGGAGGAAAATGCCCTGAATCTGTGTTCATGGGCAAACCGCTTGACTTGCCAAATTTGAGAGTGTTTGGTTGTGCTGCTTATGTGAATCGTGTGAATGATAAATCTGAACCTAGGACTAAGGAATATGTTTTCTTAGGATATCATGATTGCATGAAAGGTTATAGGCTTTGGTGTAGGAGTGAAACTTGCTTCAATGTGTTGATGAGTAGAAATGTCATTTTTGTTGAAAATGAATTTCCTTGCCTGCTTGTTTCTCCTGATGTTGCTCCAAATGAGGTGGAGCATTTGCCTGATGTTCATTCTGATTTACTTGTTGAAACCGAACCCAAATTTGTGGATGAAAATGTTTTTCATGGTGAAAATAAAGAAAATAATATTTCTATTAAGGTGGAGCATGATATAAATGTTGTGTGCAATATGCTTGAGTTGCGTAATTGCCCTGTTATTAGAGATAGAGACATTAGGAAGCATGTGAGAAATTATATGTGCAATGTGTTTGACTATATTTCCTCTGAGTTTGCTTTAAATGTGCTTAATTCTCTTTTAATTAAAATCTTTGTGATATTTGGTATGCTATTTTCTTTGTGTTTTGAAAATGTGATACCAAGTGATTATGTGAGCTCTACCTGTGCTAGTTATAGAAATAATATTGTTTCTTTTATTTTCTTTGTGCTTGTTATGTGTGGTTGTTGGATTAGTTGGAATCCCCAACTTCTCCCGGATGCTTGCTTGCGTGGTCTGTTAACATGTGTTGTGCTTGTTAATAGTTTTGTGATGGTTTTGGTTCTGAACTCGAGGACCGATTGGTAGAGTTCAGTCCATCGTGAAGTGGGTTTGCATGGTAAGCTTGGTCCGAAAGGGAACTTTGGTTCTCATCTATTACTTGTATGATCGCAATGATGTACTTGTAATAATCCGGCGATGATGAGTCTCCTCACAACTTTGTATTGCTACTCTACACCACCTAGGACCAATAAGGTGGAGAGTGTTGGAGGTATTGGTCCTACCAAGGCCTCCCTTCCACTTTATTATTGACTTGCACCCCATGTTTATTCCCACTTTGGCACTTCTCGTTTGAATCTTTCCTAACCAATATTATGGCTATTGCCTTATGTGGAGTGACCCCATCTTGAGTTGTCTGTTGCAGTCTTTCCTTGTCTTTGCATCACCCGTGAGTATCCTCTTGTTGGCAAGCCTATTATTTATGTAGCTCTTCTTCTTCCTTGAGAGAGCAGCCTGCGTGAATTATAGAGAGAGCAGTGCCCTTCTTCTTCTTCTTCTCCATTTCCTTTGTGTGAGAGTGTGAGAGAGAATACCTTAGTGGTAGAGAAGAAGCTTGGAGTTGTGTTGTGGTCTAGCCTAGGGTGGTGTGTGAGAGTATAGCAAAAGGGTTGGAGACCTGAGCCGGAAAGAAATCGACTCCCAACAATATCATGCAATTACTTTTCCCATTCTACATACATCTACATTTTATACTTCTGAAAATCATGTTGTTGCAGGATTTTTTCTCCTATTATATTAGCATACTTACAAAGAGCTTTTAAAAATTTAAAATAATGGGTAAAAATCGAAAACGCCTTTTCACGCCTAGCGAACGCATAAACTCGCCTAGCTAGGCTTCTAAGGCTTGAGGCTCCGCCATGCCGCCTTGACACGCCTTATGCCTTTTAGAACATTGATCTTAATGCTTGTGTGGCTTTATTATAGCTCCCCATTTTTAACATATATTTATAACTTATAATTATAATGGAGGACCTCACTAGTGATGGACCCAAAATAGGGCAGAGATGAATTTGGAATGAGTGTGGCCTGACGACTCTAGTCCTATTAGTTCAAATGTTTATACTCTAATAACCGCCTCTTTTGGTTTTTCACGATTTCTAAGAAGAAAATAGTAGGAGTAATATAGAGGGTGTAGGGTAAATGAAAAAGTAGGAAATGAAGTATAATGAGAAGAGAAAAGTAATGAAAAAATAGGAAAGAAAGAGTAGTTTGTAAAAAGTAAAAAGTAAAAAGGTAAGTGTAATAAATGTGGGGATATAAAAGTATTTTGATAGAAAAAACTTACTAAAAGGGGAAAGAGAGACAAGTAATAAAAAACATTCCAAAAAGTAATACGAAACAATTATTAGAGAACGGAGGGAGTATTAAAGAATTCTAACCGCAATTATTAATTTATTAGTGCTGGTTTTAGGTCATATATACTTTCTAGGTCTAGTAAATACTATAGTTCTTTTGAAGGATTTTAATAGGAATATTCAACTTTTAAAAGACAATAGAATTTTTTTGAATTAAGACAATACAATTAAGACTAGAATAATCTAGTACGCACTATGCATTAGAACCATATAATTATATAATTCTTGCATTGTTTCTGATTTCATAATAAAATTTAGTCATACTTTGTATCATTAAACCTAACTAAGCATGGAGCCGATCCCTCTTTGAAAAAATATATGGAGGCTCGGGACCGGTACCTCTATTTCCGGTTCCTTGTCAATTCTGGTCCCCAATCGGTCCTAGTCCGGTCTCAGTTCCGGTCTCGAACCGAACCCTTATTTTTCGACCCCAGATCAAAATCGTCAGTTCCGATCCTGTCGCGATCAATATTCTAAAAGACGCTAGTCGGGCGGCAGCTCAACGCCTAGAGCCTAGGCGGCTAGGTGGGCGCCTAGTCGGGGACTAGTCATCGGCATATAAATTGTATTTTTATTTATATCTTTGCACAAACATGATAAGTAATATTGTATTTTTGTGTGTATAAAGTACATATATACATATACATTAACAAACATGAATGATATGATTATCACATTTAATCATACGTAGTATATGATAACTAACCAGTTAACTTCATTATGTTATAATTATAAATAATGTTAAAATTTAGGTATGTATACAAACATATATATGTTTATCTTAATTTACAACTTCATTTCTTTTATACATGACTAAAGTTAAGTACGTATAACGCTTAGAAAATTAAAATTAGGGAAACTCGCACTTCTAGTCCCTGAATTGGTCACCGTATTGAAATGTCAAACCTGTGTTCCCCAGTTTGTAAATGACACCCCTCAATTGTCCAAATTGCTGCAAATGTGTTCCTTTGAGAGGTGAAATGTACAATGTGGGCGAGGTTTACAACAATTTGGACAAATAAAGAGTGTCATTTACAATCTCATAAATACGGGTCTGACATTTCAATATGGTGACTATTTCAGGGACTAAAAATATGATTTTTCATTAAAATTAAAAAGTAAAGTAATGTTGGGTGAATCTAGACGGCCTAGCTAGGCGGTCGATTAGGCACTCTAGGCAGGCAAATGGGCGCTCTAGGCGGGCAACTAGGTGCCATAGACGGCCGACTAATTCACCTAGACGGTTAACCAATTAGTCGGAGCGCTTAGTCGAAAATCGAGGCGCTCGGCCACCGCCTAGCGCCTTGGACATTATTATTTGCTCGTAAATATTTGTTCGAGCTTGTTAGATTATGTGTAGTATTTTCAAATTCTTATTTGTTATGCAATAGAATTGTTTTAAGAAGTAAGTATCTAAGCAGCTAATTTAGTAAATTCCCCAATATACAACCGATTTCGATTGGATATAAATCAGATATACAAAATTGAGAGACAACTAATGGACTGATTTAGTGAATCATTATCTGAATCATTTACTTCTTAATCAGACAACTTCTAATTTTATATATAAAGATAAATAAATGGATGAAAGAAAGGCCAAGAAAAGTATATCCACAACACCACACCATCGTTGATCACAAAAGATATTGGGGTCGTCTAATAATATCTTTTGGACTAAGGATACCTAAAAGATAAGTTTTTCCACTAAGAAGGCAAATACACTTGTGCTGTTTCAGGACACGTACCACAAGTTGAGGGCACATGGGTAGGCCGTGGCAATGGTGTGCATTGGTTCAAAACCTGATCGGACCGAAATAGGAACAGGGGTTTCAAAAAAAAATCGGGAACAGAATACGGTATATTTCGGTTTTTATCCAAAAGCTAGCACACCAGTTTAACCGGTTCAAAACTAGAACCAGACCGGAAAATCGATTTCTAAATAATTATTATTTCAACTAAAAAATAAAATTAATATTTTTTTATAATGATGGACTATTTATTATTCATAATATTACTAATACTATTATTCATGGAGTATTAATTTATTTTCATTGATTTTAGAAGGCAAAGATTGAAGGAATTTGAGCTTATAGTAGAAAATATTAGTTATATAATTATGTCTATGAAATAATTACATATGTGTTATCAAAATAAAGATTGTTTGTAAAATGACTAGTGACTATAGTATTTAATTAACTTAATCATAGAAACTTATGTTAAATTTTTAAACATAAGTGACTATGACACTATATTGTACTTATAGTGACTATTAGTCATATTTGTGAAATAAATTTTATTTTAGTAATATTTTTGAAAACAACCCTCTATATCAAGGTAATAAGAATAAATGGATGAATGTAACATTAGAATAATATATTATAATTATTAGTATATAGATTGTTCTTGTTGTTGTTATTTTTTAAATATTGTATTACTATTTTTTTATCATTAGTATTCAATTTATACATTTAAAAATATAATCCCTCTGAATTACAATAGGAGCCTGTTTGGTAATACCAAAAATTGCATCAGCTGATTCTGGTGAAATTTATGATGTTCTGGATGAAGTGGCTGGATTGGCTGATTTTGCTGATTTATGAAAAAATTATATTTAAAATATATTTTATTAATAGAATAAACAATTATATGAAAAATAGCTAAAATGGTTATCTACAGTAACTTCAGCCAATACAGCCAGAAAGTAACACCAACCTTACTTTTTCTTATTATTACACAATTCAGTGCGTGAAATCAAAAGTTACGTATTTGATGAAAAAATTAGTTGATAAGCCTGATAAGTCGGAAAACATGCATACCAAACGGGCTCTAAGTGGCCCAGTAGACTTTTCACGTAGTTTAAGATAATTTATAGGTTTACTGTACATTTTTTGAAAAAGTAGGAGAATGTATTAAAGTGTACTATAGCTGCTTTTGGACTGAATGTATTTCCTAAAACAGAATTGAGACACCTAGGGGGCGTTTGGAACTGGTTTTGCTTATGTTTCTTTTTTATAGCAGAAGTAGAATGAGAATCAATTTTCAGATGCTGGTCTCCCCCAGCTTCTAAAAAAACTACTTTTAGGAATAAATTTGAGCACCGGAAATACTTTTGTACTTTCACCCAAACATCCAAACTTGTGCTTCAAGCAATTTTAAGAATTAGATCCAAACACCCCTTATTTTGATAAGGCCAAAAAGGAAACTGTGATAGTTACTCTGATACGGAGGGAATAACAAAAACCAATTCAAACCAAAATAATTTGGTTTTTAGTCGAAACATGAGCGGAAACCGTACAAAATAACATTCCAATTTTGTTTCGGTTTCGATTTTTCTGGTCGGTTGGAAGCAATTTTCGCTTACACGCTAGGACGTGGGCGGGAAGAGGAGATCACACATATATGCAGTAGTGTGTTAGAAGATAAGACATGAAATTTATTGGGAGCATTTAAGTGCATATGTTTTCTGGGTATTATTACAAACATGGAGAGGAAGAAAGTGAAAGAGAGCATGCAACAAATTAAAGTCATGCATGCCGGCCGGCCAGCCGGCCGGCCAGGATATTAATTAATTAATTAATTAATTAATTCTTCATCTTGGAGAAGATGAGCTTAGCAAAGTCGGCCAGTTTGTCAGTGGGAGGCATGACGTCCTTGACGGCGTCGTGGGCGCAGAAGTCCTGGGCCCATTGGGCCAGACCAGGAACTTTGGCTTGGTCATACAGATTGATGGAGTTGAACTTCTCTGTGACCCTGACCCACCCGATGCTGCTTCCCAGCGCGATGTCCAGGAACCCCACCCTCTCTCCCCCGAAGAACTTCTTCCCCTTGCTGCAGCTCTGGAATGCGCCTTCCAACAGGCCCAACCCTTCCTCCACCTCCTTTATCGCCGCTTCCTTTTTCCCCTCCTCTTCTCCCGCCATTGCTATTCCGCGCAGACTTGGGAACCACTGCATTACATTACATTACATTCAAAGAAGATCGATATGACTTAACATAAACATAAGTAGTATAGTTATTGAAGTTAGACATCATCATTGCAGGCCTCGAGATCTTTAAACTAAGATTTAGTAATAAACAAAAATTACAAATTAAAATAATGTCAACGTACATGATGATGAATTAGTTATCAATTACACGAAATAACTCAAATCTAAACAAGAATATTTATAAATTAGAAGAGATTAAGGTTTGGAAGAAAAGTTAAGCCCAATAAAAATACAGAGTATAAAATATTTACGAATAAAATATCTTTGATTTGATACATTATAAATCTCGTAACTCATTACAAATAAAAAATTATGACTTCTGAAAATCAGCACTATCAACACTTGAAGTTAGTAAAAGGTAATGCATATTATTGAATTAAAGGAATTTTATCAATTCGGGACCTGAAAGATAGATCAATTATCAATTCAGGGCCTGAAAGATGAAAAACTATCAATCTAGAACCTAACATTTCATAGGGTTTGATTTATTTAATTTTTTATTAATTTCCTGGCTAATATTTAATGAATCTTTCTTCACAAAAGTTTATTAGTTTAATAAAATTAAATATTATTTAATTTTTTTTAAAATAAAAAAGTAATAAAATTTATGAAAACGTAGGTCCTAAATTGATAATTTACAATCATTTGAGTCCTAGATTGATAGTTTTCCATCATTCGGGTCCTACACTGATACATTTCATCTTTCAAGTCCCGGATTAATAATCCGTCTATCTTTCAGGTTCTGAATTGATAAAATTCCTTGAATAAATTTTCAAATTTTAAAAATAGCGTCTCATTCGCTCACTATTTAAGTGAATTTATAATGTACATTTAAACTATCATTTAAATTATCATTTATCTAAGTTACATTTGACATTTCTCTCTAGGTTTCGGTCTCGGCCGCCTAGAGTAGTTTCGTTTTCCCGATTCGTCTTCGCCCCTTAGCCGCGTCGGCGAAGGGGGGTAGAAGAAAGTTGTGGCTTGCTGTTTTTCGAGTAAAGGAGGGGTGATCGCAGGTCCGGGTGAAGAGGTTGGGTTGATCGCAGGCTTCGACAATTCAGAAGGAGGGTATCGGCTTACTACTAATCTATGGAGGAAGTGTTGGAACTATACAAAAGGATGGCTCTGAAGGAGAAGAACAACAATCTCAACTTCGATGATGAGGCGGAGGAGGCGCATGAACCTGCGGTGAAAGAGACGGAGTATCCAGTGGTGGGGTTAATCATTACAGATCGGAAGGTGAGAGTTCAGGCTGTGCAAGATTTATTTGCCCCAATCTGGAGACCAGGCAAAGGTATGCCAGTCCAAGAAATTGACGATAAGAGGTTTTTATTCACTTTCTACCATATAGTTGACAGAAACCGTGTCTTAGAGGATGGCCCCTGGTTATTTGAAAGAAATTTGTTATTGTTAAAAGAGGTTAGTCCAAATGATATTCCTCATAAGATGGACATGCCAAAAAACGGGAAAGTGTTTTAGGTTACCAAAACACGCTAGTCGGAATTGGGGAATCCGACTAGAGATTAGGGTTTTCAGCCTTACACCTAGTCGGAATTGGGTAATCCGACTAGGGTAAAAAAAAAATTGTTCCGAGTTGGCGAAGTGTTTAAAAATCCGGAAAAAACCAAATTAAACACCTAGTCGGATTCCCCAATTCCGACTAGGGTAATATTTTTAATTTTATTTAGAATGTTTAATAATCCAAAAAAAATAAATTAAACACCTAGTCGGATTCCCCAATTCCGACTAGGGTATTATTATTATTATTTTTATTTAGAATGTTTAATAATCCAAAAAAAATAAATTAAACACCTAGTCGGATTCCTCAATTCCGACTAGGGTATTATTATTTATTTTATTTAGAATGTTTAATAATAATGTTTAATAATCCGAAAAAACCCAATTACACACCTAGTCGGATTCCCCAATTCCGACTAGGGTAATATTTTTAATTTTTTTTTTTGTTTCGAGTGGGTGAGGTATTTAATAGAAGCAACCCAACACCTAGTCGGAATTGGGGAATCTGACTAGGTAGTGTGATATTTTTAATTGTTTTTTTTTTAATGTTTTGGGTGACGTGTTTAATTGCGGTTCTAGTATTTCACCGAACTCCTACACTAATACGCCTATAAAATCAATTCGTTTGTTCTCAAAATTTACAAACACACTCCAAAAACACTTCTTTCTTTCGTAAGGGTACCGACATACCATATTCATCCAAAACACTTGTTACTTTAATTACTTTCATATATTCATTATTTTTTTTTGTTTAGCACTCTCCTCTCATATTATATTTATAATATATACCATATATAAAAAATGTCTAGTGAGGGTAATATTGTTGTTATGGTTCATTGGAATGGCTCTACATCTCAAAAAGATGATGAAATAGAGTACTCCATACCTCCTAGGGCGGTACTATGGGTTAGTGAAGAAGATGATTATACTACTATACATGAGAAAGTTCTAAATCATGTTAGTTGCGACGGATTTTCCGAAATTAAATTAATTCACGGAAAATTGCCAAAGTATAAAAATTCAGTATATGTTGCTTCTAGATTATGGCCCATTCACGATGAGCGGACATGGCGTCATTTTTTCCGGATCACTACAAATGAGTATGAGGAGTTGCACATTTACGCGGAAGCTTCAGCGACCCCGCCACAAAATTTGGCGTTCCACGGAACTCCCGGAGAGGAAGGCCCATCATCAATATATGGTCGGAGGAACAACCGCCAAATGTTTGAGAACTATGAATCTCCCGGTATGTATTGTTCAAGTTAAGTAGAATTTACAATGATTTGATTTTATTTGTTATCATTTTAAGAGTGTAGAAGTGGTTAATTTAGTAATTCGTAAATATTAGTTAAATTGGCATAATGAGTTAATGAGTATATATCACTGATAGTAATATATGTATTAGTTAGTGAATTATATACTTATCCTATCATACAAGTATATATTATCTGTACTATAATATATTAAATAATACTAATATTATGCATAATTAGGCTAATTAATAACTGTTTAATTTAATATCTTTATAATAATATTATGCGTACCTAATTACTTATATGTGATTTATATATTACTTATATTAATTATATATTTACGATATTGATTTAGACGGAGATAGTATCACGTCGTTAAAAAAGCTATATATAGACCGCTAACTTATAATTTGCCTTAATTAGGTTTTTTAGGAGTGTAGACGTAGTAGATTTAGTAATTTGCAAATTTTTGAATTTAGATTGTTAAATTTGAATTTTAGAGTTAAATTTAGCTATAAAATACTTCAAAGTTAGAAAGAGTGTTAAATTTAGAATTGGCCTTAAATTTTGGTTTTACGAGTGTAGGAGTAGTTAATTTTGTAATTTGTAATTGGTTTCAATTTTGATTTGTGAAATTGGAATTTTAATTTAGTGTATATTATACTTAATATTTCTTTGTAATTCAAATACAAATATTATCAAAATTTAACAGATAATCAAAAAAACATTATCTGATAAAATTTATCAGATTATATTTCCTTTATATTTCTCGCATCCACCGCATCTACCAAATTCATTATTCTCTCCAAACCATATCTGTACAAATTCATTATTTCCTTTGTCTTTATTAGTCTATTGAATCCAATTTTATCAGATTATTTTGCAATATGGCCGAAATGCATTACTCGGATCGATTTCTTCGGCAGTTCGGTATAAGGCAAGACATTCCGAATGCTCCTTTGCCGGGTACTGATCATCACGGATCTCGTTCCAACATAGTAATCGGTGCCTTGGCGATGTGGGCGGACATACAACATAATATATACGTTCTTGATTATGATCGATATATGTCCCTCGAAGCAACTAAAAGGTACCGAAACTGGTACAAGAAGCATGGTACGACACGCGTCCAGAACCCTTCTCACAATGTGCCCACGACAGGCTACACCCCGACAGCACACGATTGGGGTATTGTGGTAAGTTTTTGAATACATACCATATTCGCTACCATATATCGTGTTATATTATTTACACGTGTTACATTTTTATGTAGAAGCAAGGCGTTCACGAGGTGTATCAGCTCTTAGCCGACCGCGCGAGTTATGAGGATTGTCAAAAACGACTACAGCATATGGCCCTGGATGTAGGTGATGAAGATATGCTCCACCGGGGCATATTCCACTATGAAGATGAAGATGCTGGTGGAAGTGACGAAGAGGATGATTCACATGAACGTGAAGATGGGGGTGAGGATTCAGAAGCGCCCCCTCAATTCTCAACACAGGGTGTCTCATTTGATCAACCACCCCCATAATTCTCAATGCATCAAGGTGGGTCATTTGATCAACCACCGCCGTATTATGATTCTTATCAGTGGTCCACACAACAGGATGATTATGTTGAGTCATTTCTGAATTCGTCTTTTTACTATGGAGACACAACGGGGCCTTGGAACACTGGCGGTGGGGATGGAGCAGGGCCGAGCACGCAACATTAGATGTAGTATTAAATTTAATTTTGTATGTACCGTCTATTCATTAATAAATTATATTGAAAACTACATTTGTTTTGTTCACTTCCATTAAAATTACAAAAAAAATTCACTTAAAACAAAATGAAATTTTTATCTAATTAGACGAATGGAGTAAATCAAAATTGCACTTAAAATTATAAAAATTGCAATTAAAACAAAATTCACAATACTAATGGATTAAAAAACAATTTAAAGCAATCAATTGTTTTCTTACTAAAAAATCATAATGCTAAGTTTTCATTTTAAAAAATATGTCACGAATCTAAAAACAATTTTAAATTTGGAATTGATATAATTTAGCCCTAACACTTTTATTTTTTTTCGAACTCAAAATCAAAAACAAAATTCGAAAAAAAAAAAAATCCCTAGTCGGAATTGGGTAATCCGACCAGGGGGGAGGATTTTTTTTTTCTTTTTTCGCAACCCTAACTAATTCG